CCACAGGCGACCCGCCGGGAGTTGCCAGGGTAGACAATTATCCCCCGTTTGTGAACGCGGCGTCTGCACACCTGATTGAAATGGATATGAGCAACACATCTCGAAGAACAACAGTTACAACGGTGAGTAACAGTCTTTTATTCTTACATTAGCTTGATAGTGGATTGTATTATACAGTTAGGATAATACATTGAACTGCTACTTAGAAAATATTCTTGATTTTCAGTAGTGTTCATTTGTCTTCATTAAAGCAACCTAACAATTTTTTAAATGTATTTTCAATTACACTGAGGTTTTTCTTGCAACATGTAATTTCCCCTTCAACGTTCAATGGTATGGAACTCTGTGGTACAATTTTTTTTCTGTTTCTTTTTGATGTGTTGGCTTCATTCATTACAACTCAAGTCTCCCTCTTTCTGAAATCTGTCATTAAACTCAGCTGATGCTGTCCCTGGTGTACGAAGATGGCAGTCACGCCTTTGGACCCTAGCAACCAAATTTATAGAAGCCAGGACTTCCAGCACTGTGCCCAATCCTCAGCTGTTGAACAAGAAGGAGAAGGCTGAAGCCAAAAAGATCTGGGAGCAGAAGAACCTTGTGGTCTCTGAGGTTAAAAGGAACTCTTAACTATTTTGAAAATGACTAGATAGATTACTAGTGTTGCTATATCATGCACAAGCAGTGTGCCTGACTTCTTGTGTTAGCAGGTCAAAAAGTGTGTCTTCGGATTATTCCATCATAAACTATTTTAATTGGGAAACTTTCTCTGCGTAAGCCTGGGGAGAGTGAGGTCTGGATAAGCATGTTTTTTCATAATTTAATTTATCACAGGAATATCACCTCCGCAGATTGCATATGGTGTGTGTGTGTGATATTATTTTGAGAGAAAGGTAATACTTAGTCCTGTCACAAGTGCAGGGGACTGGACTAGATGACCTCTTGAGGTCCCTTCCAGTTCTATGATTCTATGTGTATGCACATTGCAATTTGCAGCTGATTGTTAATGTTGTTGTTTTTCTAAAAATGCTCAGTATATGGAAATTGTATGTAACTAATGAAAGTGAACATTTTTTATATAACTAGGTAACAAGTTACTTCACAAAAGATTACTTGTTTAATGCTGCAATCTCTCGACTGATGGGCCTCACTAACTTACTCTCAGTAAGTATGACATCTAAAAGAGCTTATGCAATAACCTCTTTTTCAATCTCTGGACATACAACTGTACAGCCAAAATAGGAGCATAGCCTTTGTCTATCTTATATTATAAATAATTACTACCATTACTACAACTATTGCTTTTATGGCCCCATAAACTTGCATTGTACATCAATTCAAATGAAGTGCACACTAGTATCAGGTGTACTATATATTGCCATGAATAGCTTAAAGAGGAATTTGACTAACATTAAAACTTTTTAACTAAATTAAAACTAATTTTAATATCTTCCATTCCATTTGTGGACCTATGCAGAGATACATACACACATATATAGAAAGGATCTAAACCACCTGATTGTTTTGTTGTTTACATCTGTGTCCAATAATTTCAAGGGAAGCCCCTTTGAGTTCTTCATTCAGTTTTGTTTTAAATTAGAAGTTAGTCTTTTTAAAGAAATTAGTTACTATAATCATTCCAATAAATAAAAAAGAAATATTGTTACTACTGACGGGCAAAATCACAAATCCCTTGCATTCCTCTGAGATCACTTTCAGCACTAGAGCTTTTGACATTAAGAGAGCCTGGAAAATCTCTTTTTTTTTTAATAAAATAACTTTAATTTGGCACTCTTAATTTGAACCATCATACTGCAGATTAGCCAAGTGGTGATAGGTCAAATATAATAACTGTTGCCTTTATTATTGTGCTATACTTGATTGAGGAATTAATTCTGTTTAATTTTACAGGGACCAAAATTAGAGGTCAAATTAAACATTGATATTTTTCATCTTTGATTGCAATTAATTGTAATTAGACTTTAACTTGTGATTCTAAGCCAGTTGTTGGTTAAATTACAACACTTAACATAAGTCCCCCTAAGACATATGCAAATACTGTATTGAAATAGCAAAAATCCTAGAGACTACATAGTTCATGGGAATGAAAATGTGAGGTTTTTTCTCCAGATCAGAGATTCATATCACTTCAGACAAACATCCGAATACTTGAACACCACTCTAAATTCTGTGGTCAAGAAATAAGGGTGGGTATCTTTCAAGCACAAGTTTCCTTGTAACATTTCAGTACTTCCTCTTTCAATCCCAGCTGAAACCAGGAAGTGTGGAGATGTGTGAAAATTAAAATTTGACGAAAAACCAAGTACTAAACTTAGTCAAGCCCTAGACAAAGATGAAGAATTGAATATACATAGAAACTGAACCATCCTCATCATTGGAGATGGTTCCTCCAGCTCAGAGTGGAAGCATGCTGGCAGGGCAGAATAGGGGAAAGCTTGCATAGCTTCCACCTATGTTCTACCTTTTCTAGAGATAAATGATAAACAGGGGAATTCAGTTTCATATGCTGTCGGTCCGGCACCTTTCACAAGAACTTATAAAGAACCACTACAAAAATAACAAAGACTTGAACCACAAAAGATTTTCCTATGTTTTTCATTCCCACATTTTTTTTAGATCTCTTTAACTCTATACCAGCTTTTTCTAGACCAGGCCAGGATCCTATTCTAATAACCCCTATCTCAGTAAAACACATGCCATGGTTACATTCCTGGTCTGGCTTAATATTCTGACATGGTTTTTTTAAATGAATTGTGAACTTACTGGGCACTGCACTTCTGGAGGTGTGTGGGAAAACACATTCCAGTACCCAGAATTCTCTTCAAGGCCCCAATCATACAAAGGCTTCCATATGAGCAGACCCCCTACCCCCTCAGAGGTCCAGTCACACTGATCCTTTTTTGGAGTCCAAGTTTGTAGCCATTTTATAAGAGTGCTGGTGCCTGAGCTCTGTGTAAGAGTCTTCTGTGCGCAGCTCTTTCCAGTGGTGCACTTTGGGAGCAAGAATTTAGAATGGTTTCCATTTTCATCCTCCATGCCTTTTTTAAGCTTCTGATTCATTGTAAAATGGGACTTTTTCTGGATTTAGGCATTGATTTATGTTTTTATTATTTCATTCTCTCCATTACAAACTGCCTTTTTATAGGAATATTTATACTTATAATTCCTGTTTCTTTTTCTTCCCCTTTTCCATAGCAAGCCTCTCAACCTCTCATTCTTCACAGTGCAGAATTTGAAGATGCTTTGGCTACTCTTTGTATTATGGTTGCACCTATGGCCCCGCACATAGCCTCAGAGCTATGGAAAGGTATTTGCATAAAATGCTTTTTATTACTCCTGCAGAAAAAATAAGGTTGGGGAAATAATTTCCAAGGAAGTTACATCATAATAACTAGATAAGTTTGCAAGAAGCATCTTAAAAACGATGCACCTCCTAGGCACTTTATAGTCCACAGATCAAGACCAGTCCTCTCCTCAGTCAGTCACCATAACCCCCAAACACACAACTTTCCCACCCCAGGGAGTTGGGTTTAGTAATGTCCTCATGCCTGTCATTCCCCTTCACCCATATAATTCCTACAGTAACCTGAGTCTTATAGATTGATCACTCTGCACTTTCTGCTTTCATGATTTATATATATGGTCACATTGTAGTTTTTCTGTGGTGATGATGTGATGGGTGAGGAAAAGGTTACGTTTCTTTGGGTGAGAGGAAAAAGGACCTGCCACACCCAGAATGACTTGTACAGGCTGTCATGGAGGGAAAAGCTGACAGCTGGGTCTGGGGAAGGAAACAGACCTTTTAAAAGAAGGGTTTGTACTCATCTCTGTGATGAGTTTGGGTTAAGAGGACCCCTGTCTACAGGGCTATGTGCCAAGCAGCATGAAGGGTTGTGGATTCATAGTACTACTATTGTAGCATTCCCTGAACAACTAGGGACATGCTGATGTGAGTTAACTCCTTTAAGGGACTTGAGATAAAACCTTGCTTAAGACTTTCATCAGCTGCGTACCCTAATATCTGAATCCCTAAGTTGGCCAAACCTTACAACCCTGCTAGAGTTGCCATCAGTAGGGTGAGGGATGTACATACCAGAATTCAGAAGTCAGCAGCAATCATATTAATGATTTGTTGATAGAAATGCCAAGATATATGTGAGAAAATGGGAATATATTCCCTTTTAAAGTTGGCCACGATGGACTGTGTTACCTTGGGCATTGCATTTTATGAAGCAACGTTCAGAAGCAAAGATCTTCATGCTGTAGTTGTTTGACTCAGCAGAGCTACTACAATAGATCCTCAAGCGTTAAGAACAACTTAGGAATGGAGGTTGTTCATAACTCTGAAATGTTCTTAACTCTGAACAAAACGTTATGGTTGTTCTTTCAAAAGTTTACAACTGAACATTGACTTAATACAGTTTTGAAACTTTGCTATGCAGAAAAAAAATGCTGCTTTTAACCATCTTAATTTAAATGAAACAAGCACAGAAACAGTTTCCTTGCCTTGTCAAATCTTTTTGTTAAACTCTCTTTATATTTTTAGTAGTTTACATTCAACACAGTACCGTACGGTATTCGGGTTTTTTTTTGGGGGGGGGGTCTCTGCTGCTGCCTGATTACGTTCCAAATGAGGTGTGTGGTTGACTGGTCAGTTGGTAACTCTGGTGTTCACAACTCTGAGGTGCTACTGTACGTAGCTTATTTTTCAGAGCCACGTATAGCATTGTAATACTTACTGCCAGAGAAAAGGATTCTTGAGGAGAAATATTAATTTTAGTTGATGGTTTACAGGTAATAGATATTGGAATATTTGTTTATGTGGAAATTTTTTCTTGCCTGTAAACCATCAACCAAAATTCATTTTTCTCTTTGTTTGCACAGAAATTACTATAATTGCCACAATCTGATCTTCCAACTGTTTGGAGTTTTTATTGCATCTGCATACAGTGCCAAGCATAATGGGGGCGGGAACACTAACTGAGGCCTCTAGACACTGCTGAAATACAAATAATATTATTGAATAGAGAATTATGAAATATGTTTGGTAAAATGACAAAAACTACCAACATGTCTTAGCTCAGATCTCTCTCTGGTCAAACATAGGACCTGAGCCTGCAAAATACGGAATGTCCTCAGTTCTCATTTAAAGTCTTTAGGAGTTGTGGATGCTCAGTATTTTTCAGGATCTGGCCTATATATGATATGAGAATACAGAGCAAGAACACCAATTAATGGACTTGTGCTCTCTTCTCTTGCTACATATATTTGAAGATGCAGTTGTGTTGTCCAGAGACTCCACCTCATGCACAAATGAGGTTAGCCTACAACTACAAAAACAGTTTGTTTAGATTGCTAAACTCAGAATCATATGGATTGAATATGAGAATTTCTGTATCATCCTGATCATCATTACACTCTATAGTTAAGCTATTTTATCACAAGAGAGATCTGTTACTATTGCCTGCTTTATATAGTATATAAATCGTGTTACTTGGAGAGGATCCAACATTTGTCATTATTCAATCAAGACATCTGTGAAAAGTATCCATCTAGAGCCAAGTTATTCAATAACAGGGAAGCAGGTTAATGTTTTCAAACATATGAGTCTGCATTCCAGATCTTCTAACCCTTGATAATCAGCAATTTCGGCATTTTCTTCAATCCCATTGTATACAGAGGTAAATTCTTGGATTATTTCAAGAACTATAGCTTTAAGATTTTAAAGACAGTCACACGTATATGAGCATAATTTGTAAAGTTATAAGCGATTTGTGTTGACTGTACCTTTTACCTCATATTTGTACACCTCATCATTACAGTTATAATCATACCTACTAGAAAAGAAGTGTTTAATAAGATTTTGGACTTGACAGTTAAACAATCTTTTCACTGTTTTTAAAAAGACAGAAAACATTAATATTAAGATTTTTAAATCCTCCACTTAATCTCTGTTTGTGCTTCAGTTCTCCATCTGCAAAATAGTGGTAATTATCTCTGTGCCTTGGTTTCACAGCTATAAAATAGGTATGATAGTATTTCCTTTCTCCACTCTTTCTGCCTCCTGTATTTCACTTGTATTCTCTACAAGGCATGGTCTGTGTCTCTTACTTTGTGTTTGTACAGTACCTACCACAGTTGAGCCCCAATCTTAGTTGGAGGTGCTACAGTAATACAAATAGTAATAAAGCTATATATTTGCTATCTAAATTTTGGTCCTAAAATTTAATCTGATACAGTCCCTTTAATTTACTTTTTGTTTCTTTCAGTAATGAATTTAAGAAGAATTTTCTTTCTAAAGATAGAATCAGACAAGTCTTAATAATTGAATAGATATTTTTCCTGTTGGCTAAGAACAACATTGAACAGGAAAACAGATTCTTCTGTTTAACCTGCATCATGTTACACTCCTTTATTTGAACTATCCTTGAAAAGAAATGATTTTGCTGTGTTAATAGTATTTTGCAACTAGGGAGTGTTTATTGGGTAACTAAATATACCTAGCATTTAATGCATTACAGCCTTTAAAAAAGAGAGAGAGAGCACAGTTTGAATGTTTTGCATAGTACTTTGCAGTGTAATTAAGCTGCCGTCTAGACTGTATTACATTTTAGTAGTATAATCTCATTAATCTTTTCAGCTGCTTCTCGTCACTGACTATGGGTAAGCTTGGCAAAATCCTTTTTTATATATAATTTCAACAGATATTGATTATATTTAAGGATTTTTTTCTATTTTTAATCTATTTATAGCTCAGTGGTTTGAGCATGGGCCTGCTAATAACCCCAAGGTTGAGAGCTCAATCCTTGAGGGGGCCATTCAGGGATCTGGGGCAAAAATCTGTCTGGGGATTGGGCCTGCTTTGAGCAGGGGGTTGGACTAGATGACCTCCTGAGGTCCCTTCCAACCCTGATATTCTATGATTCTATGAAATTTTCACAGTTGCAGGAAGTTATGGGGGGTCAGACAATAATTATTTAATGACAGTAGACATTGAGATTCCAAACATTAGAGCCTTATAAAGTTATAACTTTATTGTCAATATCAGACATCAAAATATACAAAGTAAATATGTTTAATCAATAATCCAATAATTCCCTAGCAGCATTTTTCTTTCTTTACCTATCTGTACATTTCTATTATTGATGCAAATTATTTTTTGTCTGGGTATACAGTGAAATTGATGTTTTCCAACATTTACCAATAAAAATTTAATTCTTCCAAGCTTATGGGCAAGAATGAAGTGTGTAAGAAGATATTGCAACAGACAAATTCTGCTTTAAACTAACATCACTTTTGTATTTCAGTAGCACCAAGACTCCCCAATCAGGGCCCCATTGTGCTTGGCACTGTATACACACATCATGAAAAGACAGTACCTGCCCCCAAAGCTCTTACAATCTAAGTAGGTGACAAAAGACAACAGGAAAAAAACAACAAACAGGCTGGGAGAGCACAAGCTAACATGGAAACAGTTGTGAATAGTGTGATGAGACCTCAGCTGCCTAGATATTATCAAGAGTTTTTTAGGCTTCACAACAGAGATGATTTATAATTTAGCTTTTAGTCCACCACCTTCTGGTTCTTATGGTCCAATGGCAAAGCACTCAAAATCAGCACTCTGGGTTTAATATCACAGAATCCCTCTGGTGTAATATTTAGCCTTGTATTATAACCCTTCTTTTTTATAGATTATAATGCACAACAAAGGAACATTTTTGTAAAATAGACTCAAAACCCAATAATTTCTGCACATCAGTGATTGAAAACTGTTTTATTTGTTTGGTTTATATGTGACCATTTTGTTTATATATTTGAAGCAGAACTTTGGATAAGCAGAGAAATCTACTTAGGCCTGAGCAGTACATTTTTCCAGTTAGAGTACACCTCTACCCCAATATAACGCGACCCGATATAACACGAATTCGGATATAACGCGGTAAAGCAGTGCTCCGGGGGGTGGAGCTGCGCACTCTGGTGGATCAAAGCAAGTTTGATATAATGCGGTTTCACCTATAACGTGGTAAGATTTTTTTGGCTCCCAAGGACAGCGTTATATTGAGGTAGAGGTGTATAGGGAAAGGCTGTTTGAATGCTGTCTGATAAATGTATTACCTTTCAGTAGTTGAGCAATAATAACTGAGTAGTTACAGTACTTTGATATTTTTGTATCTTACTTTTTTGGGAAGTGCCCCTTTCTCCAGCTTAGGGCAGGAACTGTTTCCAGTGTCTTTGTGTCAGCTTAATTCTGTTACGCAGTATACACTACGCTGTAGTTTAACCAAAAAAATCCCCCAAACCAACAAC